GACAGCTTGAAACGAAAGGCTTTACTTCCTCGAGACTCCGAGAGATTTCGCAAGATTACTGAGCTGATTGTGGAGTGCATAGCAGGGGACGACCAGCCAATTTAACTTGTGGAAAACTCCGGTTTTTGTCGTCTAATAAATTATTTGGGTGCCTGTCTATTTCTTAATGTATACGAAATTAAATGCTGTTTGCCAACACAAAAAGTGATATCGGAAATCGGTATCGGAAAACCGGTATCGGGAAATATCGGGATCGGATCGGAACCTATATGAAAATATCGGAATCGGATCGGAAGCTAAAAAATGAGATCGGGACATCCCTAGTAACAACCATCGTTTTTTCAGACACGTAAACTCTTCAAAAATCACCAGTGGGGTCACTGCTGATGTATTTAATGTCGTAGAACAAAACGTGATTTATCTCTTAAATTTGTGTCAACCACAGACCTTATTTCCAGCTATTTTCCAAAACCTTATGGAGAAAATGCATTGCTTTTTGACGAAGGAACCGGAAGTGCTAAAAATGCTAACTTACTTCCGGGTTTTAGGAAGCGTCACTGCAGTTCTCTATAAGTACCCTGCATCAAGATTGATGCAAAACAAGTGAAGTTTGACCTTTTTAGAGAGTTTTAGAAGAAAAAAACACTTCTGGGGTCATTTGGGTGCATTTTCCAGATCTCTAGCCCCCCTCACTCGATTTTGATGATTGACATATCTTTTTGACCATTAAAGCCAATAGAATCGAGGGGAAGTTCCTAAAATCCATCTAAACATTACCCATTGGTGAATGAGTGCTGCGCAGCCAGAATGCCAAGGAACCGGAAGTTGCGATACACTCTGGTGGCTATCATTAGCAGCTAATTAATTTTTACATACAAATTGAGTTATGGATTATCAATAATTTGGTGACAGACACATTGGATTAACCCTCAGCAGCGTTTTTATCGTTTTAATGCCATTGAACACGACTTTTGATCAGAATAACAGCTAAGGTGAGACGATCTCCCGTGTTTGCTCCGTAATGCTACGTGTTGTGATGTATGTGTTTGCTTCCCCTGTCGCGAGTTCTGATCGCTCAGTGATGACACCAATACCTATATAATCTGTGGAATCTCAGCTTTAATCGGGTATCTTGTATGTGCAGCTACGATAAGGAATAAGGGTACTTTTACCTTGAGTTCTGTGCCAAGTGCGTTAGCATTTTCACTCAGGGGTCATTTAGACGCTTCTTATGAGACTTGTGTTTTGTTTCGGTAAAAATGGTTCGTACTGTCAGTTAGCTGAGTTTCTTCCCGTTAATCTGATATGACGGTAATGATGGTAATAGGTTTTTAAATATTAAGAAGCCCTGAGACACAGTTTTGTGAGAAAAAACCCTGCAGGTTAAGGCTGCACCCTGTTGCATTAGACAGACTTTTACCATCAGACAGTCAGTGGTTTTAGTTCATTTAATAACAAGGAAATCTCTCTGATGGATTATCTGCAGTAACTTTTGAACGGCTGCAAGTTGATTCAAATTATTAATGAAATGAAATCTTAACTCAATGTATTTAACATCTGGGATGCTAAAAACCAAGTGATCCCAAGTTGGTTTTGGTTTCTCCGCCTCCATATTGATTGTTTTGCTTCAGTCTCACAGCTCTCTTCAGTGTTGTTTCCAGCAGCAGCTGTTCAGGAAATAAACTGTGATATACACTTTGCAGTACACTATCTGCTTGGCACAAACTTCAGTTATGCAAAGTTAGCATCTAGCTAGTGAACACAGTGGAGCATTTAGCAGCTAAAGAGCCAGATATTACAGGAGTTGTTGGAAACCAAAACAGAGCTTGGAGAGTTTTAACATATGTTCATCGCAAAAATAACCACAAATAAACAGAGAAGTTGACTTATTCAAAATGTACTTAATTTGTAGTTTGTTATTGTCAAAGGGCAATGCACCAGAATAGTCTCTTTGCTCAGCCTTGTTTGAGGCGCAGATGTTTGTAGTTCTCTGATGGCCCCTTGCAGAACTGATAGTTCATTTTTCATTCTGACAAAATCATAAGGGTGGTGAAATGTATCAGTGGAATGATGGTACAGCATTTTACAGTCATATGTTCTACCAACAATGAACAGTCACTGAAGACCGAAATGTACGCAAACCATTCACTGTTGTCTTATGAACCCCCCCTCTTCTGGTCTTGACGGATGATAAAGTGTCCCCAAAGAGGTTTCTACCGAAGTGGGCAATTGCCGAGTTGGCAATTTCCTCAAGGAGTTGTGTTTCTGTTAAACCTAACCGACGATAGGTTGGGACGTGTCACGTGTGCCGCAGACGATAGGTTGGGATGTGTCACGTGTGCTGGATGACGTTATAGGAGCGAAAATTCTGGATCTGCTCCCCCCCTTTTTTTTTTTTTGTTAGATGTGGGTACGGAGGAAAAGAGAGAGAGTTTTGTTTTGTTTTTGTTTTGTTCATCAAAAAGTGCATTTTGCATGATAGGTCCCCTTTAACTTGTGTTTACAGTACCCAGAGAGGACGCCTTCCGAGTGTCATCTTGTTAAACGTCTGAGAACTGAGAATATCTAATATTACTAATCTCTCTAAACATTGAACACATCAGCATCGAGTTGTGTTTAGCAGTGTAACAAGCAGTTATCCAGTGATATTGATACTATATGAACACCCAGGAGAGGTGCATTCAATTGTTTTCTTCATGATGGTTCCTCCCGAGCTTTTTATTAATTAAAAGTATCCATCACGGTTGATGGGAATGTCATGATTACAGACTGTGGCCTGGTGTAAGAGAAGGTATAAATATATATGAGTGCTTTAGCCTACAGCAGTCTGTGACTAATAACCTTCATCTTGAGAGCTTCATTACACACAGAGGAAGGTGACCATGTTGAAATGTCTGCCATTGGAGCACACTAACCTCCATCCCATAATTCTTTTCAGAGATAATACTCAGCCTCCGCTAATGAGTTCACATAAATCAGCTGGATCGTGCTAATTTTGGGGATATTACAGAAGAACAGCTTGTAATATAATGGTTGAACCAGCCTTGCGTTTATCAGTATCCATGGCGACAGCTGTTTCCTGTAAATGGAGAGTTGCCGTCATCCGTCTTTATCTGTTTATTTCTAGCCTTCCTCAGTGTGCCGTGCTGCGTTTACTGCCGTCTCGTAAAGTTTGTGAGTGATCTTGGACAATAGGGGGTAAAATGTGTTACATTTATGAACCAAATTGTTACCATGGAAACAAAACGTAATATCTCAAAATTGTATTCTGAATGGTTGTTAATAATGTTTTATTTTCGTATAATAAATGGCTGATAGTAGCATTTCCCTTGATGAGCTGCTAAACAATCTGTCTCATTTAGCAGATTATAAAAATCTGGCTTTCACATTTGGTTTGTAATATAAATCCTCACTGCATCAATTATTGTTTTTGGATTTACTCATTTGAACTTGCCTGAAGATGATCATATCCATACAGTTTTGCTTATTGAGGGATTACTGAATGAGTTGATCAAGAGCCTGTTTGAAACAACCTTTATTATATATTTTTTGGGAATTTTATGATGCTGTTTTACATATTTTTAAAGCAGTGCAACGTACTGTGGCAACACTAACTTGAAAGAAAATGCATTAGTTATCCAATTTAAAGTCAAGTACAAAACAGTTCTGCTTTCAGAAAAATAGAAGCTGCATCGTAGGTTGTCTCTAATGGTTTCATATTGCATTTAGTCATATATGTAGTCTCAGTGTGAATTGTGTGGCAGGAAGCTTTGGCCGGGAGTCAGATTCTTACTAACATGAAAGAAACACTATTGTTCAGCTGCAGTTGAACCAACAGCTGCTCTTGATGGCTCTGTTTCCCCTGTATAATGTCACTGAGAAAACAACTCGATGTAATCTGTAATGGATTTGTTTCTTTCTCATTTGATGGGGTGCTCTTTTCAGTCTGTTATGTATGTGCATGTTTAAAGCCTCGACACAGGAAGATTTAGCAATATGTTTTATAATAATACATTTATTTGTATTTAAGCATGCCTTTCACGATACCCAAGGACACCATACACTTCAATTAATACTCTAAGACAGTGATTCTCAAACTTTTTTCAATAATGTACCCCCTTTGAAAAAAAAATTCAGCCAAGTACCCCCTGATCAGCGCAAAAACGATGTTTGCCTATACAAAGAGGTACAGTACAGCGCTGCACCATCAGTGTCTGATTTATTAAAACAACAACCTTGTAACTGAGAAACACTTAAATGCTACATTTCAAATGTTTACAATCCATCACTAAATTCATGGCAAACCAATTTTAACATCATGCAATAACACTAAGACGACATTAGTTGCATTGAACTGATCTTTTTAATAAGTTGTACTTACAATGTAGTGAGAAACATGGGCTTGTGCTTCACTGAGGATCTTTGTCATTCTGACAGGAAGGCAAACTGCAGTTATTACACTTCGCGTTCTGAAATATGTGTAACTCTGTTCATATAAAACCCACACTGCTCAAACTTCTTTACTTTTCCTAAAATTGGTATATTTATCTTTTTTTTCATTAACATAAAATAAATCTCACGTACCCCCTGCAGTACTCCAACGTACCCCTAGGGGCCCGCGTACCCCCATTTGAGAACCACTGCTCTAAGAGGTTCAAAGCAGCATCACATGATAAAAAAGAAACAAACAGGCAAACATGGAGGAGACAATCAAAGAAGACACAAATGATGGGGACAGGTTGTTCAGAGGATGGTGAGCACTACAGTGAGGAGGCTTTTGTTGGGATTTGACTGTGGTGATTGTGTCAGGAGGATGTGTGTTGTGAGGGACTAAAAGCCTGAGTAACCATGGTGATTTATCCACTGCGACATCAACAAAAAGAAAAAGTCGGGTAGAAACAGGATATTTAGCCTGGATCAAGGGCTTTAAACTCTGCATGGTCAGTGCTATTGTTAGGCTAATAACTCATTTCATATTCATCTCTCTGCTCCTCTCCCAGGATCTCCGGCCCTAGCTCGTGAGCACTCAGGCAGCCCACAGCAGGAGGTGTCTGGCAGCATGAGGAGGAACGACAACTACCTGCCGGTCCCTGGCGAGGAGAAGAACCTGGATGTGGACAACACCACTGCCAGGAGCAACGAGTCCATAGTAAGACCCGACACCGTACTTTTCTACTGGGTCATGATGTGTGGCGTAGAGCAGTGACTTAGGGCCATTACGGAGGATCAGTCAAATACATTTTTATGAAAAGAGCCAAAAAGGTGCACATTACATTTCATTAGAACACAGAGGAATATTTTCATGGCTTTGTTTCTTGACATAGTTAGCAAAGACTTGCATGTCTCTGATTACTGTGAAAAATGCTCAAATATCAAGCCTGAAAGTATCAAGTTAAAAGTGGTCTAATATTTCTTTGGATTACCGGTTAACATTGGAGTTAGTTGGAAGCCTGGTTAGTCAAATCAAGACGCTGAAGGTTGGCTTGTATGTCGGAATCAAACACAGAGGGGTGGGACAACGCGTCTGTATTTGACGACCAGGAAATGATAACCACCTGCAGTAACACTTGAAGCTGGGGACATGGGCACACAGAGTTCTAGAATACTCCTCAACTTACTAGGAATAGGAAATAGGAAAACCTCTTGCAGGTAAACCTGTGTGTGTGGCAGGGTTGTGTTTAAAAAATATGACAATAGCAGGGACCTTAAGGTGATACCATTTCCAAAAGAGTATCATTTGACACGGATTTGTGATGGAGGCATTCAGTTGCATGAAAGGTCAACGCCACTCCCCAAAGCCATAGTTTAGTTTTGCAGGCGTCTTGACAAGCTAAAGTGCAAATACACACATGGCCCTCTCATGAAAACAATTTATTTCTTTGAGTAAAAAATATTCACAATGTGCTTAGGTGCTTACACAGCAATGCAGGACACAATACAAATGGAGAGATTTCCTGAAGATAACTCAGTGGAATCTTCACTTGCATTGCATCACAGTTGTTTGTGACACGAGCTGTGTTGTGTAATGAGCGCTGATGAAAGGTCAGGTGCACACACTGCATGCCAACACAGGCTCACCTCTGATATGTGATTATGATCGGCTCCACACTGTTACCATGGTGCTGGATATAAGTGATGCCCTATTATATGCTACATGTATATTGTGAACAGCCCAGTTACAGCATTCCTATGTTATGGAAATGTGGGGACTACTCAAAAGTATGTGGTGCATAAACCATTTCAAAGTGCTAACCATCAATAACTCTAACTTATGCTTTGTCATTGCATTCATAAATACCTTTTGACTCTCTACTACACCTATGCCAAAATAACTGCTGTAATTTAGGCTATAGCCAACTGTTTTATATGTTCATAGTGTCCGGGGAACAGGAAGTCATTTGTTTTACAGAACATGACTGAAATGCAACAGGGCACTTGAATATTGAGCTTGAGCAGCAGTAAAAAGAGCAGCTATGAAAGCGCCACTTGAGCTGAAGGATATTCCTGCAGCTCGGCGCCTCTCCTTCAGCAGACAGCTTTTTCATGTTCACCACAAACAATGTCCTTTATACTGGAGATCAAGGGTCTAAATGAAACATATGTTCATATTAGCTCAGAGTGAAAGTGTTGCAACCTTTCACATGTTTACATTATTTATAGATTTTTATTGTGAAGATATATTACAGCCAATTGACTTGCTTGTTCCGTGTCACTGCTGCAGCTGTTTTCAAAAGCAAACAGCTGTAAAGACTGCTCACTACCTGCTGAACAGTAAACACACACATATTATCTGCTGAACCTAGTGGAGCCTTTAGCAGCTAAAGAGGCAGATATTTCCCTCAGGAGTTACACCAGAGAGTGAATGTTGGACCGACAATCATCAGGTGTCCAGAGACATGATATCACATGAATAATAATGTTCCTTTGTGTCTGCTAGATGTGTTGATAGACGATAGATGATATTGTCAAAAAAGTGATTGCAGGTTGAATGATCTATTTAATATTGCATTCGCTTACTCACCACTGAAATGTGTTTTTATAATCTTCATGTTCTATTGAAGTCTGTTTCATTACAGTTATGCATGGACTTAAGGGAGGAATTATGAAAATGTGTTGTCTAGACTTAATAATAATGAAGACTTCATTTGAATTTGGTATCTTTTGAAAGGTTTGCATAATAATACATAATTGTCAAATTAATCCGTTTTAAATCTAGGAAAATGTGTTTTATCCAAAAATAAAAAGTGCACTCAATTGTCTCCCAAACGTCGCCTCTCTGTTCATGGGACACTGAAGCGGCTGTCTATACTGATTCTGTCTGAGAATGTCAAAGCCTCGAGCTGCACTGGAGCAGACAAAGTCATCTGAAGGAAATGTAGCTGACCCTTAAATCATTCATCATTTCACATCAGAAACCATAGGACATTCAAATGTGACGCACACAGCTGGGACCAGGACCATGGGAAACGTACCTAAAATATTAGATCAAACTTTTTTAGCTTGTTCTAACAATGTGATCACATGATTCCTTCCGTCCTGCAGATCTGCTGTAAGCTAGCTTGCTAACGTAGGCCTACTGTAGATAACCTAGCCATTTTAAATATACTGACAAACAGCGACGTGCAGTAAGGGGAGGCAGGGGAGGCAGAGCCTCACCTGTCATACTTCAATGTAACGGAAAAACAACTAAAGCAAAACTAAATAGTAATAATAATAAAATGTCTCCACTGATCTGTGTTGTAAATGTGATTTCTGTATGATTCCAATCGCTTTTTATAGTCAAAATCAGCTAATTTGACGAGCTCCGCTACAACTACATGGGAGCGATGAGGAGTGAGACAGGGACGAGCTCTGCCTCTCGTAAGCCCACAGTAACTGACTGGAGCGCGGGCACTAATTTAACGCGGGCACTTATTTTGTGAGCGCGCTCAAGCCAGTTACTGTGTGGTGAGGTGAGGCACAGATGAGCTCTGCCTCACCTCAGAATGCGTCACCTCACAGAAACTGGCTGGAAAGCGGGCCCTAAGCGCATGCCTGCACCATCTCACTGTATGTCACCAATGTAATGTTTGTAGATCCCTTTATTACATTTACCCTCGCCATCCATAGTCTCTAAATAACTTATTTCACGTATGATATTTAAGCCCGCTGGTCTCATCATACAACGGCAATGAAAAAAGCACCAGGGGAGGCAGCCATAACCTCTGCCGCACTGAAGGGGGCGCACGTGAGCCCACAGGTTCTTGTTGTTACTGTTATTCTACGCAGGGACGGTAGACACAAACAACAAACTAGACTTTTGAAACTACAGGAAGATAAGGAGGACTTTTACAAAAAAGTAATAGAGATTGTTGTCCAGAAGGATAGCATGGACTTCATCTTCAAGTCAAGGTAAGACCACCATTGTAATGAAAATGGGATCTTACTAAGAAAGTACAATCCAATATTTAGATTTTGGGTATCCTTTTGTTGAACGGTCTGTTTAAAATGAATCGAAGCATCAGACTAAAAAAGCTTTTGAAAATAACAGAATATTTCGATTAAGGTCAAAATATAATATTTGTAAATCTGACTCTGAAAGAGTCAGTGCCTCACCAGCCATGAACCTCACCGCACGTCACTGCTGACAAAACACTTACAATTATAAAACTGACTAACTCTGCCAACAGTGACACTTGTTTAAATGTATAATCTTCGAACATCAACAACCCTTTCCGTGCTTTTGAAAACAGCTGCAGCAGTGACACAGAACCTTTTTTAGTGTCCCCGTTTACGTGGTGTTTTGAGCTTCGGCGTTTTTTCATTTCAGCGTTTGTTTTATACAGTGCTTTAAGTAAAACCCATTTGGCACATATGTTTTTTTATATTGGACTTGTTTTTGAAAGTGCAGCTCATGTTTCTCCTCATGGAAATGTGTTTGGGCATTACATCAGCCACTGTAAGATAAGAATGTACACAATAGAGGAACAAAGAGAACAGCAACATAGGAGTACATGCCATCTGAAACAATACAAAAAGAAACTCTGGTGGAGCAAGGCACTAATTATGTTTTAGGAATTATACTCAGAGGACGTCTTGGTTAAAAATGTACTTCTGCTTTGCAGCAAAATCAAAGCTTTCACTTTTCCTCTAGAGGGATTAGTTATTTCAAAGAGTCGCTTTCTCACTTAGATCTTGTGCTATTCAGCTTCCGAAATACTGAAGAATGAGCCACTTCAAAAACTGTATACACTGAGGCCAGTGGAATATACAGTGGAGTATGACAATGTTACATGTTGTTAACAAGCTTCTATGTAATGTTGTGAGCACCGTAAATGGGATTGTTTTTACCTGTGTACAGATAATGTACAGATATCTCTATCATAAAACGTTCTGCATTGCCCTTGCCTATCTGGGTTTGTAATAACTTACTGCACATTTATTATTGGCACTGCGGCCAAAATTGTGATTGAAAGCCTCCAACGTGCAAAAAGACAGTTCCCAGTGCTGCATGCTGCTCACTGCTGCTGCGAAAAACATTAGTGACTTGAAAACTGCTGGCTCGTCTCAGCCTTGAGCTTATTATGGCTCAGAAATCTGTCTGTGTGTGCGTGTGTGTGTGTGTGTGTGTGTGTGTGTGCGTGTGTGTGTGTGCGTGTGTGTGCACGTGCGTGCGTGTGTGCGTGGGTGGGTGGCTGTGTACATGTGGAAGCCCAGAGGAGAGGAGAGCCTCATTTCCCGGTGGCTTAGTGAGAAAAGAGTTCCTATTGGTGAATGATGCATACACCACCACATCCTCATGCAGGGCCCTATGAGGAGCGACCTCTGACCTTTGCTGCTATGACTACTTCCTGTTGAGAGAGGGCTAAAGATGAGTATGTGTGTGGGGATGAGGCAGGGGGCTGCTATATACAGTTTACACACACAGCAGACCCTCCTGATACTGGTTCTTATCTCCCACAGGATCAGTGGGTCGGTGGCTGTAAAAGGAAAAGCTCTTCCACTCAGTGTCAATATTAGTTTTGAGTTTTATTGTTGATTTACATCGATGAGAGCAATTCATCTTCAGTAAATGGCTCTTTTATTGGCCATGCAATTGTCTCTATATCACTAAGTAAACATCCGTGTTGGATATCAGCAGCTTTTAGTGCCATGACACATTCCCATGCA